TGCACTTGATAGCAAGAGAGCTAGCTGGAAAATACTTCTGCATTTTTAACTTTTCTTTTAAAGGTCTTTTCCGGTTTTTACGTTGCGTTGAAGCAGGGGTGATAAAGCATTTCGATTACTGATGATGGGTTAACACCGGTAATAAACTAGGAGAAGGGTATTTGCCGAAAAAACTTAATTTAGAAACCTCGTTTGAGATTTTTAATTTCACTGGTGTTATGGTTTTCTTCCAGCTGACCGTACAATATTACAAAACATAGAATTTTCCTGGCGTGAGTTTGATGTCTTGTGTAGTTCGGTGTTAAAGGTTACTGTAAGTTACTTAAGTCAAAGTAAGTTACTTAAGCAAAAATTTTACCAATCCTGTCGTAGTAGTCACGAGCTCTTACTTCAGCAGTTCTGGTAAGTATCCGACTTAATAGAAATTATCATTTTACGTAATTTGAATTTAAAATCTTGAGCATCTAATGCTTATGGCTGTCGTGAAATAATTGTGATGTTAAACGGAGTAATTGTAGGCAAACTGCAAACTCCTTTGAGCAATTCTGCCAATTCTGTGTTTTGCCTACATCGTTCCAGTCTTCTGAAAAACTTTCAGCTTTCCAAATCTGTCTGAACGTCAAAAAAATGTGTTTGTTCTTGTGATATTTAAATACAGGTTTTGTGGGAGAAGTCTGTAAAGGACAATTTCCCAGAAGTTATTTTTACCTTTGAAACTCACCACTTCATACAAATGCCAACAAATGCCAGTCCCTTAGAATAAAGATACAAGTGTTGGTCTAAATTGTGTCAGGCTTAGCTCAGCTAACGAAAAACGTGTGCAGCTTGGCAGCCGTGTAGAGCTCTAGCCACCTTAAAGAATTGGGAGGATTTGCTTGTCACCGGACGTGGCCGTGTGCCTCCGAGCTGGTGCCCACCCGCCTTCTCAAAGCTGACCTGCTCAGAGGAGCTCGGCTCTGGCGAGGTGTGGTTGCTTGTCAGATGTGTGTGGGATTTTGAATTTATCAACAACTGCGTATGGGTTTTAATAGTATGTTAGAGAGAGAGAGCTTTGTGGACAGATGTAATAGATGTTTCTGTAGCTCTGAGTTTCTCTGTTTATAGCAGAATACAGTTTTTTTATCCAAATGTACCAAATAGGGAATGCGGGTATGCTTTTGTAAGACCTTGATGAGTTGCTGTGAAGAAGGCATTGGATCAGTGGTCTGCTGATCCCTAGTTGTGACCAACCTACACATCTCATTTCAGGGCTTTGAAGTATGCTGTGGGGTTCATCCTATGTAGCATGATTTCAGTACAAGCTCTTGTATTAAAAGTTCTGGTTGAATATAAAAAAATGAGTGTTACCTAATCAAATCCTCTCAGACACTTTTAAGGAAAGAAATATTTTCAGCTTCCTTTTTAAGCTAGGGAAGAGTTTGTAATATGGTACGATGACAAATGAGGAAAATACTGCCTTTTTTAAAGGAATCTTTGCTCATTCATGTTTTTTTTTTCCCCATTAAAATTTCCTTCCTTTAAAAAATACAAATACAGTGATACTCCAGTTGATCTTACTTTTCATGTTCTCTCTGCCTATTATTTCTAATTTTGTAGCCATCATATGATAACTGCAGTGATGTAGATACTATAGCTTGTTTCTGCATGAAGTGAGCCTCAGATATCCTCATCTCACAACATGTCCCCAGATTTTGTGTAATTAACATTTTCTTCAGTGCACTAAAGACCCACAGTAGATTTGTACAACCAGTGTGGCATGACTAGAGCTTCGTCAAAGCCAATGTGAAGGCGTGACGCATCCTTTAAAGTTTTCATTTTCCACAATAGCTGTGGAAAAGGTCAGGATTTTAGTATGTCAATAGATAACCGTGGATTATCATTTTTCTCCTAAGAGCATGTGCATGAAAGATGTCTCATCTGGAGTTAAAACTGGTTGCAAGTTGGAATAAAGGGATTGTGTGGCTATTGCTGTTGTCATTCATATCATATTTTTTCCTAGCCTGGGGCTATGTGGAATTGGGGAAGAATGGTTACTTTTCTTCTTTTGGCTTTTATTTCCTAAGGAAAGTTCTGGAGATTAAGTTAGCCCGCGAATAAATAAACATGGTCCTGCAAGGAGTATAGGCTTTTCTTATGGACCGAATGGTGATTAGAAATGAGGCATAAGGACTGATGGTTTGGAGGTCACTATTCAAATTCTGAAAACAGACTTGTGGGAAGCTGAATAACTTGCCCACTAGTAAGCAGGAACAAGTAAAGGCTTCTGTAAAGCAAAACCGGTCCTATGTTACACCTTTCAAGATATGAATGGAAGGGAAAATCCTACTTCTTGCATAGACTGTTGCATTGGCAGCTGCCTGCAGGTCTGTGTCCTCCATGTCTTCTTTCACAGGGAAGAAAGCCTTTTTACTCCTCACTGGCCTTTGCTCGCCATGTGCACGTGGGTGTTGAGTGAGTAATGTTAGGTCTAAAGAGTAGAATTTTCAAGAAACTCTTTTAATTAGTCTTTTGCCTCTTCCCAGAAAGCACTCTGTGTGTGCTCTTTGAAAACAGTTTGACTTATTTTCACCATCTAATTTAGATTCAGTAATGAAAAGCATAGATTTATGAAGTATAATGCTCATACCTCTCCAGTCTTATGGAGGGCTCAGTACCTTGGGAAATTTCCACTAAGAGTTGTGAGTTATTAATGTGCTCTTAAAAAAAGGGATTAAAGATTTCTTTGATCCACTTGCTCCTGTTAAGCATACTCATTCTATATGTGGTGGTTCAGTTTTCTGATGGCAGTATGTCTGTAGAGTCTTAGGCTCTAGAGGCTCACTGACCTCCTACAAAATTTTCTAAGTATGACATGGTGCTGTACACTTGTCCTAGATTACTCTCCCTGGAGATGTTAGAGATCCTCATTAATGTGCATGTGGTTTCCCAGTATTCCTTCCGGGCTTTCCCGTAAAGCCTTTGTCCATACGCTTGTTTAATATTGTTGGGACTGCACTTGGAGCAGGGTGATGGAGTTAAATAGTGTGTGCAACTTTTATTCTTTCTGATTGCTGCTGACAGAGGTGGCGTTACGAAGAGTGGTTTTAAATAACTGTTTAACTATACTATTTCAGTGGCATAACTGGAGTAAAACCTAGACAGCCAAGTCAGTCAAAAAAGGCTGTCCTAATAGTCAGTTTCATAAAAGCTCCTCTTTTCAAAATCAATGTTATCTGTTCCCTATTAATTGGAATTAGATGAATCTGAGCTCCAGAGGTTTTCTGCCTAGAGCGTATGTTTTGTGGCACAGCAGATTAACCTCATCTCAATTTCTTTAAAAGTCCTTTTCCAGTCAATCATGCCTTGGTGTGTTTGTTCAGGGTCTGGTTTTCTCCAGTCGTGTGCCAGGTGATTTTTAAGCAGCATCCTAATGATATTTCAAAGGTTGTAGGATTAAAGAAGTTAATGTGAGCATTGTAGTGCTAGTTACATTTTATTTTTGAATGTTTGTTGCATACAAGGAATTTGAAGCTAGAAATTGAAACTTGGTATTTTTAAAGCCAGAAGTCCTGCTGATTTTTCAAATTTATAATTCATTGAGATGTAAGCCATGGAAAAATGCCTGTATGTGCCACAGTTACTTAAAATTCCTGGCAGCCTACAAGCTTCCGTACACTGTGGCATGGCAGTTTTATGGGTTATGTTATTACCCTCCTGGTAGTACTTCAGGATGTTGTGGTGGAAGTGGAGCACTTTCCTCAGAACTCTGGCTGCATGTCTGAGTCCAAATTTACTACTCTTAAGGGGAAAGGGAAGCGTATGGGTTTAAAAAAAAAAAAAAGGATAGGATATTAGCTTAATTATTCTAGAATTTTTATTCTCGTTTGGGGAATTACAGTTTTGACTTGTGTGAAACATTTTTTTCTAACTGTAAGTGCAGATATCAAGCAAATGAATCATTAGGTTTTGAGGCTGAGGATTATGATGTGTGGGGAGAGCGTGTGTTTGTCTTTTTCAGTTGACTTACCTTTGCCTGATGTCAGCTGGTGACTTGGAGCTGAGATATAAATTGAAAACTACGTTAAGCGACTTCTGTCATCTTGGGACAGCCCCTTAACCCACCTATGCTTTGCAAATTCTCCTGAGTCAGTAACTATGTCTGATATCGCTCATTGTCAAACAGACCGACTGGCGCAATCCTTCGGAAGTGCGTTGTGTGATTTTGTGTCTGTTCACTGATAAAACACGTTAGTGCTCAAGGCTTCCTAGCAAAGGCTCCTGCAGACTCCTTGGTAGCAGCACATACAGGTGCTCAAGCAGGTGGGGTTTTTTAGTGCTGTGCTAACGAATGTTTGTTGGCCACCCTTTCTTCAGTGGCAGCTGATGCTGATGACTTTGAATCATTAGAGGTTTCTACCCAGGTAGCCACTTTTAAAGTTTCATTAGCAGGTTAGCTCGCAGAGAAATTCTGGCCCTCCGTTTCAAGTCTTGGGAAATTTGTGTAAACTTCTGTGTATTAGAGTTATTTGGAAAAAGGAGTATGTGACACTTTCATCTGTTTAAACCGAACTAGATGTAGTAAGGAATATAAAAGTAGTTAGAAATGAGGATACAGAAAGTTAGAATCTTGTTGAAAGCATTCTAATTGTATTGTTTTACTCACAATAATCCAAAGATATCTTCATATCTTGCAAATTAATACTTGAGGTTTCGAATGTAATGGAAAGATACTTTATGGTACCTCTCCTGGTTCGATTTGAAACAAACTTGCAGAATCATTATACAAGTCTTTATTTAGGTATTGCCACTCCAATTTCAAGATAAAAGGTATTTAAGTATTCTGTGTAACTTCTCATGAGTAAGATTACTCTGCAGTAATGTTTTACCCCTTTATAGCATGCTGTCATCTTAATTACAGGGGTTGGAGAGAGGACCCAAAAATCAGTTTTCCACTTTCAGCAATTTTATCACAACTATCAACCAAAAGAAAGAAGGCATCGCAAACAGAAATTCATCTACGCAACTTGTTATACCCAGCATCAAAACCGGTAAGAGAACAAAAGCCCTGTGCTACTTCATTACCAGTTTAAGAAGGTGCTCAGTGTTCTGCCAGTGTTTGTATTGTGGTGGTGCCAGAAAATCTGTAAATCTAGCTTTTATTAAATTATGCTGTGCTGAATGTTGTAGAGGTGGTGATATAAATGATGGTCTGTCCTCTGTAGAGGTTATGTCATGGTAGAGGTTATGTCATAGAGTCAAGTTGGATAAGAAAAACAAGTAGGCCTGGGGGATGAAATAATCATCTGCAGTTTTAAAGAAAGTTTAAGGTTAAGTAGTGTGTCTGCAGATGCTGTTTTTCTAACTGCAGTCAGGTGGCAATTTTTCTAGAAACTGTGTCAGAACTTTGTGGAGAAGATTTTTTTTCTATCGCCAACTGAAGGATGGCAGGGATGAGGAAAGTTTAAGGCTTTTAACGGAAACAATTGCCAAGAGCGGCTGTTTTTTAGTGAAGATGAAGGCCAATGATGACACAAAATAAAATTTGTGGGCAAAGATTGCTAAGTTCTAAAGAGCCTTAACGGTGAGAGGAAAGAATATTGTGATATAATGAGGTACTGGTAATTGATGGAAAAAATAGAAGTAGAGCCATATATTCTACTTGGTAGGCTAGATTCATGAAGCCTGATGAGGTGGCATTGTGGTTAGACCTGATTTTTTAATTATGTTTTTGGGCTAGCATATGGAATTTCAGCAATTTGGGACTTTTCACAAAAGGCTGTACAAACATTTGTCAGATTGGTATTGATCTTGCTTCTGAGCAAGTCCTTCTCAGCCTTATTATTCTGGAATTCTCTAAGTCTTTATAGCGCTCGATGAATTCAAGGCTAGGAAGAAAAGAGACTGCATTGGTGAAGAGATCTCAGTAGTACAAGTCTGAAACAAAACCTTGGGCAAGGTTGTCAGTTTTGAAGTTGTGCAAAAAAAGGTGGCTTGCACCTTGCAGGGCTGAATCCTTGCTAAAATCATCTTTGTGTCTTTGCTAGGTTTACTGCAAAAGTAAAAGTCAATGCAAGACTTTTTTTTTTTAATCCATTTTTGTTATGGAGTAAGGAGGTGCTTTCCACCTTTTTTTGAAAAAAATAAAAGGGCAGCTGCTGAAACACAAAGGCAATTATGTGTAACTGATGGATCAGATGGGATTTTGTGCTTTGCTCAAGTCACTTTGTACTACACAAAGGAAACCAAAGTGGCTGGAGATGGCCCGTGAAGAATTGTCCCACTCTTGCGTAACTCTCGCTGGAGCTGAAGTAGAAGTGTTATTCTTGAGGGCAATACTTGGTGTAAGGCAAAAAGAAGATGCTGTAAAGCAGCTCAGAACTCTGCTGGTTCTTAAAAAGTGCTGTATGGTCATAGTAAAAAAGCAACAAGAACCTTCAGGTGGCCATTGCTCTCACCTATATGTTGTTAAAGAGAAGGTTTTGTATGTGAATTCCACATACACAGTTGCAATGTTGTTAGAATCTGAAAGTCCTCAGAGAAATAAAACGTTTTCCCTTTCTCATGTAACATTATTTTCCTCAGAAGCTGGAAGTGACCTCCTGTCAATGTTAACTACTCAGCTGCTAGCCTTTTTAGCACAAACACACAGGCGGTTGATTCACAAACTCTAAGCTCCCGTCTTTCATTATTTATGCCTTAATTGTTTCTGGTCCAGCTTCAGTCTGAATAGTTTCTTAATAAAATCTTACGTTATTATATGAAAATCTGCTTCTTAAAATCTAGGGCAAAGTAAAATTAAATCTAGCATTGGGCCAAGCAGTGTGAAAAATACAGTACCTTTTGCCAAACTCATTTCAGTAAGCAGAAGAAATCTGCCTCACCACCCCCCCTTCCACCTCCTTTTTTTTTTTTCTCAGACCTGACAAAAATGGTGAACTCGAAACGCCTCTCCCTCTTGAAGTGCTCTCAGTTCTTACTGCACATGATACTGTCCCAGTTGTAATTACTGCCTCAGAATTACATAGTTGTTAATTTACACCATACTAGTGTGTGGCAATATTTATTGTAGTCATATTCTTGAAATGGAGCTCAACGTGTGCAGTAGAGCAGATATTCTGTTAGCTTCAGGATCAGGGTAACCTGGCTTTATAAAAACAAATTATTTTTACTAGCAGTCCAAGGTGTGCTCAAAATGTTTTGGGGAGATGCGTCTTCTATGGAAAAAAGAATTGAAACAGATTTCTCAGTTAATGCTGCTTTTGCTGTTCCGGAATTCAGGAATGATACTTGGCTGGTGGGTCTTTTCAGGGTATCTGTGTACGTGCTATCTCTCTGAAGTGTGTGTATATATGCATGCATATTCTGGTAATACTTCAGGCTTGAGTTCAAAGAATGTTAATTTCATTGGAAAGCGAAAGCGTGGAAAAGGTAATGTTGGTAAATACAGCATGAGAGCTAGGGTGATGTTTGTTTGCTATGTAGCTGCCACAGGGATTGAATTTATATAACAGTTCTTCTAATGCAGCAACGATCTGGTATGAAATCTATAAATGAACTAGATTATTCCAGGGTTTGTTGTTTTTTTAAATAATGTAACAAATGCAAGTGAGATTTGTTTGCTTTACCTACTTTGAACATTTGCATCTGCTGGTAACTGGGTGGGTCACTGTGAAAATAACTGCTGTTCTGAACTCAGTCATCCTAAATTTTCTTGTCCTAGTCAATTCTGCTTTGTATCAGTGAAATTTTCTTCCTCAAAGTTTTTGATCGCTCCCTAAGCATTTATACATTACTGAGGCTTTTTTCTTGGTGAAACTGGGCAAACAGCCAGCAGTGATTTGTTTTTTCTTGTCTTGTAACATTGTGTTATAGCTGCTTATCAACTCAATACATAAAGTTTCAAGTTTCTCCTCAATGGTACTCAAGGGACAGATCTTAATTAATGTTTTTGAATATCAGATGAGCCAATAAATCTATTTACAAATAAACTTGAATTATGGCACAATGTACTGAAGTTGACACTATTTATTAAATGTATTATTAAAACTCAGTTTTAGTATATCTAATTTAAGCTGTATATATTTCAAAGAAAATTGCATCACTGGCAGGGTGCAAGTTATCAGCTTAGCACCTGCAGCCTCAATTTACTGAAATGGGAAATAGTGTCTGTCAGCAGCTGTTTCTTCTACAGAGGCAGAGAGAATTTTTTTCTCATTTCAGTGTATTCAGCTTGTTGAAATTCTATGTTTAATCCTTTTAAAATTGAGAAGACAGAATGGGAGCTAAATGAAAATGACTTGTCTTTCTCAGAGTATAAAAATAAGACGTAGTCTTATTTTCTTTTAAGTCAGTCTGTCCCGCTTTCAGGGAATGATGTGCAATAGCAGAGCACTTGCATGGCGGCATTATTTGGCACCTTGGCTTGAGTTAATTTAGTATCTGTGTGCCCACTTGGTTTTGTGTTTTTTAAATTACTACTCTTGTCTTTAAAGAGCTTTCAAATCTAGCTGTGAGAGTGGCCAAGGCTCCATATCTGTGATCGATGCCATGCTGATGGAATTGAGCGCAGCTCTGATCTGTTGTCCTCTGATGAATGGTGGCTGGCTTAAGTCACAGTGACAGTGCCTCTGTCATTAGCTTGAGTGAAAAGAATCTGCCTTTGGGATTTGGGGATCGCAGCATCTATTTCCCTGCTGTGATAAGTGGAGCAGGCAGCAGAGCAGTGATACTACTTTGTTTAGTTAGTTTTAAAAAGCAGCTACTCTTAGAAAAAACTTACAGGGTTCTTTGGACAATTCATAGCAGATTTTTGTTTAATACATTTGACTTTTGAGGAGGCTTTTATATAGTGTCTTTTATCCCAAAAGTACATTGTAATTCATATAAATGCTTTTTAAAATGTGTACAGTATAGATCAGACTAAAAGTACGTTTTAAGCAATTTTTTTTTTTTTTTTAGAATCAACTGTCAATAAAATGGCTGTTTTTGTATACTACATTGGATATTTTTTTTTATGGGTTTTGTGAGTTTACCTTGTCTGGCTGTCAGATGCCCATCAGGCTGTTCTATCACTCCCCTTCTTCAACAGGACATGGGGAGAAAATTAGATTAAAATCTCAGGGGTTGAGATAAAGACCATTTTCAAATTACCATCTCAGGCAAAACAGACTTGACATAAGGTTATTAATTTATTGTTAGTTAAACAATACATAACAAAACTCAAAACATCTTCCCCTTGCATCCTCCTCTTCCCAGGCTCAGCTTCATTCCTTTGTTTCCCCACTCTTCTGCCTCTTTATTTCCCACTCTTCTACCTCTAGCTGATGTGATGGCAGTGGTATTGGGTCATAGGCTGGACTTGATGATCTCAGAGGTCTTTTTCCTGGCTCAATAATTCTGTGACTCTGTGATCGCTGTCCTGCAAGAGACACAGAGTTTTGTTTCCCTTCAGTTAGTTGAAGTTCTCAGCACGTCTGGGATGAGTATGTGGTAAGAAAAGTACTTGGATGAGTAGGTGTTTAAAGCACTTGCCAGTGTGAGTGCTTTTTATTTTTTTGTTGTTTAACTAGTTCCTACATATCTGTATTTTAGTAGCTAAATGTTTATGATTGCATTGTACTTATTGTTCTTTACTTCTGGGTTTTTTTGTAAGTGAGAGACCTACCATCTTTTTGCCTCGATGTACGACAAAAGCAGCGCATCTCTATAGATACACTACCCCACGAACTGAAAGCGCCGATTCCTCCTGAACCTTCCCTTCCCATCCGAAACAAAACTGTGAAGGATTTTCAGTAAGTTACACTGGTGTTTCTAAAAAAGTACTTTCTTTCTTTGGACTTTCTTAGTTTCATCTTAATTCATACATTTGATATTGTTAATCTCGCATGAGGAAACAGTTCAGTAAGACTGAGAAGTGGTTGATCTAGTTGTGATGGTGGAGTTGATACTTCTGTTACTGTGAAAATTATCACAGTACTGGATCTAGCTTGAAGTGTTGTTCTGTTCAAGAAATGGCGAAGCTTGTACTTCAGAGTTAGAAATTCAGTTCTTGACATTCATTTGATATTCGGTTTTGGAAAAAAAGTATGTTTGGCTGATTGTAGGCTGGAAAATCCCTTTCAGTCTTAAGTATTTTGTTTGCACTGTCAATTATGGGAAAATGTGTCCATTGAGGTACTGGGCATTCTCAGTCCTGTGTGGAACCACACATCAGACACTTAAATGTGTAACATCATATTTGAGGACCTGGAGCAATGATTATGTGAACCACGCTATTTCTAACTTTGGCTAAAAGTGCAGGTGACCTTTCTTCATGCGTTATGTTAAAGGGTGTTAATTTTCAGTATTAGTTTTATGGCAAAAACTTAGTTCTTTTTTCATGTATCCTTGCTGCTTACATGACCACAATTTTAAGCAGTGTGAACACTGTTCTAGCACTTATCTATGAAAGGCGCTATGAGTAAAAGAGTTTTAAGATTAAAGAATCTGCACAGTGGTTTATTTATGCTGCTGGTGGTTTGTTTATGCTGCTGCCCTGTAACACTCCTTCGGCTAGAAGCAGAATTGATGTGAAATAGTGTCTTATGTTCCACTTCTTTTTTTTTCAGATCATTACAGACCCTTAATCAAAACTGTATCTGCTTTAGAATTCTTCCAGCACTGTTACAGTACTTGGTGCACGATACAACTTTTTGAGAAACTAATGCCATAAAGTGTGTGTACACTATGGGATTCTGTCTGCAGAACGTGATCAGAATGTTTATTTAGTGTGGAAATAAATATTCTTAGAGGGGTATTAACTAATTCATTGAAAGCATGACTTTGGAGTTTTTTGGGTTGTTTTTTTTTTTTTCCTGGTCTCAGCACCCACAGAGCCGCATTATGCTGCCGTAATATCCTTGGGTTTTACTCTAGGATAATCTTAGTCAGAAAATGGGGAAAATTACTCCTAGGAAGAAGCCTGATTCTTCTGTTCTTCAAACAGATGGGGGAAAAAAAAATCAAATCACAGTCACTCCAAGAGCTGTACGAGTGTATACTCTTCGTTGCTCTTTTCCACATTTGAAAATTTGTGTATTCGGGGTGGAAAAGGAGTGCCTTTAGATTAGTCAGCATGTGTATTTGGTGGAAAAGGAAACATGTATAAAAAGAATTTGATAAGAGTTGATACTTTGTTGATATTCAGGTGATCTGAAAAGCTAATTTTTTTTCAATATTCAGATTTTGATATTTGACTGCTGCCTAGTTATGTAATTATCAAGAATTTTATTCTTCCTAGCAAAGAATTAAGAAGTTGTTAGCATTTTTGGTATGTCCCATTGGTAAATTTTCTTTGAATATCTAATACAAAGAAATTACTTGGCAGGGAGCAAACTGGGAATTTTATCACCAGCATTGTAGATAGCCAAAATAAAATACTGCATCGAAGATTGGTTGATGTTGACTTGGTTGGATTGGTTTTAAATTTATGGTATTATACAGAATTACATATACTTACTTTAACGTCCAGTACTTAAAAAGTCGCTGAGTAAATCCACAGATTTTATTGTCCTCTTAAGAGACATGTGCAGATGCACACAAAGATTGTTCTATTTGAAGAGAAGTAAAATTTTGTACAAATGATTGTGAATGTGACTAGTTTAGGAGCCTGCATGCTTAAATAAATTAGTCTCAGAAATTTTTCCATGTCAGTGTATCTTCAGCCTGATTTTGTTCTGTTAATTTTTATACTGAACTGTGACACCATGAATTAACATCCTGAATAAGAGACATTGCTCAGGTGTATCAAACACAAACTGTGCTTTTGTTCTCTTATAATTCCATGGTCTTAAAATGACAAGCAAGATGTTAGAAAGATACTGATATTATACTTGTCTGTCTTCTAAGTGTGCTTAGTGAGGAAAGCTTAGAGTTACACTGCAGTCTAAAGTCTAAGTGGTTGGGAAGATTGAACTCTTATATTACAAATATTTTAATATGTTCTTTCTAGGGATGATGTGGAAAAAGCTAAGTCATCAGGAGATTGGAAAGCTCTACATGATTTTTATTCTACAACATTTGATTCTTTCCTGGAGATAAATGCTGCATTTAAGGTAGAAAATAATTCGTATTACTATTTAGTACTTAGAGTCCTTTATGTCTTCAAAATGTTTATAAAAATATCAGTTAAGGTCTTGCAGCTAGTTGATCAAGGCCACTAAAATCATGTTGGTATGATCTCACCTGGCTTTGCTAGAAAGTCTGTTATTGCTTTGATTTGTTGATTCCAGTTTAAGTAAGTATATTTCAAGTGTATATGGAGCTTTAAGATTCCAGTAAGTAGTTCATTTTATGACACTTTGACCATGTAGATACTTCTACACAAATTCCAATTTAAAAACATGGAAGCTAATGCAACTAATTTGGAGGCCCAGACAAATCTGGAAACAGAAATTCCTTGTCCATGAAAAAACGTGATACGGGCTCAAGTAGCAGAGCTGTTCTTGTGTTGTGATGGCATACTCAGTTTTCCTTGGGAAAGATCGTACTTGTATGTGAAAACTTTCTGAATTCATGCTAAATTAACATCTCCTGTCTATTACAGAGCAAATTGTGCTTGTAATATTTAATATGGACAGTAGGGCCTGTACCTAGATGAAATAACCTGTGACTTTTAGTAACTTAACAAATACTGAATGCTTATGATTTATTTTTGCTCTTGTCTGATGATGGATTGACAACGAAGATGAAAGATGAAAACTGGATGTAATTCGTTATCTGAAACACTCATATTTTTAAAACAGAACAAGGTAATAGAGTTACAGGAATATTGCAAATGTGTAGGATTATTGTTGTTTAGATTAATCTTTCACATATTAATAACATACCTTAGATTCTTATGTTTTGATAATAAAAAGTTACATCCGTTTTTATTTTTCAAAGATAGCTAAAACACTTTATATGTTACCTATCTTACAGAAAGATAGCAATTCTCTATTTAATACCATTGAGGACTCTGGAATCGATGCAAAATTTGTGAATGTTGTCTATGATGCCTTATTAAATACTGTAAGTAGAATAAAAGAATTAATGTTTTAAAACATTGTAACAATTACTTCAGCAAAGAAATATGCTAAGAAGCAATTTATACCAGAATTTTTTCTCAGATAGGCACAATTTCTGAAGAATCTCTCAAAACATACTTTAAATGGTCCTGTGAGGATTACTGTAGAATCACGAAAAGTGCTCTAGTAAAAGAGGAGGAAATTTTTGCCACTTAGTAACACACAGTTTGTTCTGTGGCAGATCTCAAAAGACCACTTGCAACATATAGCAGGATTATGATGGAATACTTCATCATGGGAAGTCAGGAAAATGTGAGGATGGGGGTAGCAAAAAGTAGGTATTTTACTTGGTAACAAAGGATGGTGGGAGTAATTTAGAAATTGCATTTACAGTTTAAATTGTGTGAAACGTTGAAGTCCACTGGTGGCACAACTTCAGGCCTCAGCTAACACTCTGAGAAGAAAGGTACTTGGGAGCTCAGCATTGTAACACAAAGTTTTCTTAGTTGGCTTGAATCATAAGCAAAGAAAAGTCTTGCTTGTTCTTACAGTATTGTATATGGAATATATATAATTACATCAAATATGATTTTTCCTCTCCTTTTTCCATAGCCTCAAGATGTTCAGAAGTCAGTCCTAAAAGGAATAATTAATGGTCTACTGCAAGAATGGAAAGGGTAATGATAACACATATTTGCATTAGTGCTATGCCAGCGCTCACAACTGGTGCATGTTCTGATACAACTTTTTTGTTTCACAAGAACTGTCCCTTTTTGGCAGGCAAATCTGCTGAAATATATTAAACCTCTGAGAGGCAGACCCCAACCCAGCCGTACATTCCCCCACAAAATCTCAACTGCTTGTTGCCAAGGCGGTCATTTGGGCATCTGAACTGTGAGATGAATAAAGGAATTTATCTAGAGAAAAACATTTTCAGCCCACCAGATCCTCAACAGTGGCTAGGATGTTTTAAGCTAGATAGTTGTGATCCACAGTTTACTTTCCAGTACTGTTTATGTGGGGCAACAGCATAGAAATGGCAGTGCAAGATGCAGAAGAGAATAGCTCAAAGTCACAAGGTTGGGCAATGACAACATTTTAGCAAGAAGTAATAGAAGTGAGCATGCATAATTTGATTCACTAAAAGCTATAACAAAAGATGGTGTCTTGCTGTGGCTTACCTGTGACCCAGCCCTTGGACATTCCTTTTTTTACCTTGTACTACCTTTTTTGTGCTGTTACTGTGTTTGTGGTTGTGCAAAAGCCTTGAAGCAGGTAAACACCAAGAAGTACAGAGACTGCAGTGGTAGAAGTGTATGATGAATTCTGGCTGGAAACATCAAAGATTGGGCAAATAAACTCTTCTGTGGTGTCACCCAAGATAGAAAAGAGCATGGGCTTCCATTTTTAAAACACCTCTTACTCTTCAATTCTGACTTCTTTATTTTTTTCTCTCTTGAGTTTTGCTGCAACAGATAGTCAGTCTTTAAGTCTCCTTTTCAGTTTCCTGGAGCAGCAAAGGTCCTTGAATATGGTATTCTACATGTATTGGCAAAGCGAAGTTAAATAGTCAAGTGCATGATTTTGTGACTCTTAATGTGTGTGTATGATGTATACATATGGTTCTGCTAATTATTTCATTCATTCATAGACCACGAACAAAAGATGATCTTAGAGCATACTGCATACTTTTGCAGGTAAGAGAAACACATTATTTTTATTTAAGTATACGTCTGCTTATAATCTATAAACCAGTATACTATGCAAACAAGATACTTTGTATAGCTGAGATGCTTCACGTTTAATTTCCTGCTATAAGAACGTATTAAAATATGGAAGAAGTGTAGGGAGGGTATGCATAATGGGACTGGGAGCTTAATGCATGGAAAGGTTGCATGGATAAAAACGATGAGCTACCAGGTAGACATGTAATCGTTTCCTGTCATTTTGTGGGTTGGAAGAACAAATGTTTTAGCAGGTTATTTGTTCGTATTTTTTCTTTATTCCTGGATTTGCTTTCTTGATATGCTGTAACTCTGATCTTTCCAGGAAGTTTCAGTATATGCACCTTTTGGTATTGCTGTAACTTTCTACAGCGTTGCATTTTATCCAGCAGACCCTCTCTGGTTCTATCTGACTGGCTATGTTGTCTAATTTCTGACTGGGTTAATCTATTACCTTTGCTGCTATAGTGGATTGCATTTATAGTAGATTTCCCCTTCAAATTTTGTCGGTGTAGATAACCCTTACATAGGCAGAGATTTCTGCTGTTATTTGAGATCAGATGGTAAATGAATTTTTTTGAGACAATAGTTTTCTTCTCTGGTAGTTGTAAGGAATATATCCTGTCCTAAAGTGGGAATGTATGAACACCTGTGTAAGAGAGTGAGTAAGTTTGGACTGATGTGCAGGAAGAGAGGAACTGTGAGAATCCTTAATACTAAGGTGGAAAACACATCGCTCAGGAGTGTCATTTATGTGCCACACAGTAAATGATGATCCAGAAAAAGATACTGAATACTGTCTTTATTACCTGTGGGCTTTCTTATGAAACAAAATAATTATGCTATTACAATATAGATGTTATGGGGTTCTTTATTTGATTAGAAGTTACAAGCCTTTTTTTTTTTTCTCTCATAGTTTTACCATTGTCATGGCAATTTCACGAATTCCTTTCCTGCATGACTGTATTGGCAACAACAGACATAAGAAAAAAATCCTAATGACTTTTCTCCCTTTATGCAGTTTATTAACCTAACACATTTTCTTAATCTTTTGCAGAATCCTCAATTTAGTAACACTTCTACTTATGTCATCTATGCTCACTTGCTAAGACAGATAGCAGCCTTAACAGAAGCTGACCATCATTTCCTAGTGCACTGGTCTAAAAAGTAAAAAAATAAAATAAAATAAAATTACAAATTCCATTTTTAGGATTACAAGTGTTACTGTATTTCCATTGATGTTGACTGTTTTGTAAATTATATGAAAGTTAATTTAATTGACTAAAGAGATTGTTTTTGTTGTTTTCAAAGTACATTTGGACATAGTTCACTAAGTGATACTGATTTATAGATGAAAATTGTATATGTGTAAAAATTAATATATTTATTCCAAAAAAGCCTTAATTGCAAAATAAGTTGTTTTTCCATAACACATGCAAAATAACTTGTGTATGTAAAGATTTTAGGAACGTGTTATTAATACAAACATCTTTATAATCTTTGCTTAAATAAAGATTTATCTTGCATAATTTGCAAAAGATAATGTAACTTCACTGTATTGTATGAAAACCATGAATGAAACCAAATCCCTGCTTTGTAGTGTAATGGAGGTGGTGAGAGAGTGTAGTAAGGGCATTAGATTTTTAATTACTTAAAGCAACTCCAGCAGCACCTCACTAAAACTCATATGGGGGTAACTGCCCAAAGGGCAACTTTTAAGTCGGCATGTAAGTTGTCTTCCTTATAATGACTGGGCAAAAAGTTCAATCTAGGGTACAAAAAAATGTGTGAATGGCCGTATTTACAATTCCCTTAGCTCCTAGGGGATCTGTTATCAAAGGTTTGTTTTCTCTGCAAGGATGGAAATTATATTTCCCTCTTACCACCCTGTAGTGTGTCTAGATTTGTTAAAAACTGTGGTAATATATGTTTCATTTGAATTGATATTTACAAATAAGGTTTATCATCTTGGTTAAGGATGTGGTAGGCATATGGATATTTTTATTCTTGAAGCATGTATTAGAAATCTAAACTGTTATAAAAGGAAAGCTCTTATTTAAAAAATGCTTTAATAAATCTAGACATTTCTGTATATTGTTATGATATCAGCACATAATTTACAATATGCATTTGTCACAAGTGTATGAAGTACTTTCTACACTTTATTTGATAGGATCAAGTATCTAAAAAAAATTCTGAATTCCTCAGTATTCGGATTGTGGAGTTAAATAGCTAAGGATTTTTGTTTTCTTTTTGTTTACTAGAAGTCAAGAACAAGTAGACTATTGCTTTTTTATTTATATATCACAGGCATTAAAAAGCATCGTTAGGAGTGCACTAAAGATACTGTGTGCCAGTATCTAAAAACATGCCACTTCAAACTTTATTCAGAATTTTGTTTTTATGGATAGGACAAAAGCATGTTTTCTTAAAATACTAACTTTGAAATCTGATAATATAAACTCTAGTGTGGGCAGTGATCACGTGAGACTAACTGCAGCATGTTTGGTTTAGGATTTCACAGAGGAGATTCAAGCAGCTGGTGGACAGGCTACTGCAATTTATTTCTTTACGCCTGTTTCCTGCAAAACCTGAAGAGTTTCCACCCATGGTGAAGTGTACCTGGTGGATTCCATCAGCAACCAAAGTCCTGGCTTTATTTAGTGGGTATTTTTCTTGAACTTTGTACGCATATCTCTATATATGTACGTTTGTGTGTATGTATAGACCCGTGGGGGGAATAGTTTATGCCTCTCCTCTTCTGGGGGAGACTGACAGTGATGGTGGCACAGTGCTAGCTACTGCAAATGCCAAAAAGTAGTAAGCAACAAAATACATCTTCTATTGTCAAGTCTTCATACCTGCTTTCCAGTAGAGGTTAATTGCTATGCATTATTTTCCTGTAACAACTGAAGATCATTCGAACAAAAATCCACAGAAGTAACCAATTTATAGATCTAGCATTTATAAAAGAAACTGTTTTAAATGGGTAATTGCCAGAATTTAATCCCCACAGAAGTATGTAGCATCTAAGAGATATAAGGCAATGCATATGCCTCTTAAATTGAAAACTAACAGCCTAAAACCACCTAAATCCCTATACAGTTCAACACAGACCACGGCAAATTTGACCATTGCAAAGGCAAACCTTCCTCTCCACATGTCTCTGATAGCATAGCGATCAGAGAATTTACTGCAGGAATGGGAGGCTTAAGGTCAGCCCCTTTTTCTTGAAGGGTTAAAACCTTTTCTTCTTTCTAGGAGAAAATGAAACCCCCAAGTAAAAATTAAGACTGGAATGAGGATATTTTCAGTGTCAACCTAAAATTTTTACTTAAAAGCATCCTGTACAGTCTTGCCTGTCCAGAGTGACCTACTCATATAAGCTCAACTGTATCTAAAACGAAAATGTGTGTTGTCATCTATGAAAGAGTTCCTACTTCCTTAATTCTGGGAAAACGAGTATTGAGTAATTCAAAATAGATTACTTTCTGACTGATGAAAATTAAATTATGTTTAAGTGCAAGTAGAGAATACTTATTAGCAGTTTAAAATTATATGAATGTTACATAATGAGATAGGCTGCGTAAATGTGAATTGGTTTTCTTCATTTGATCAAGTACTGATGTATCTAGATGGTATAGTAGTTACCTAAGAAAATTGCTGTATCTTTCTATACTGTTTTGTGCCCCCAGCTGTTAAAATCCAGCTGTTAAACTGCTTTTTCATTGGTTTCAGCAGAACATAACATTCCTTGTCCATGAAGTCTTAACTTAGTGTATGTCTCTAAGTGGGCTAGAGCCAAATAGAGGTTCTGTTATCCTAAATGGGCTGAACTAGGGATTTACTATTTTCTACAGCAATTAATATGTAATATGGTGTCATGTTGTAGTTGTAATTCTGTAGCTAAGACTGAAACAGAGTGATTGGTATCTGATTTGGCTTTTCTAAGGTCAGTGGTGCTCAGGATGCCACATCCAGGCAGTATTTTAAGACTTCTCTGTTTTCTTTATAGATGCTGCAAATAGTCTGATCAGTCCTCCTATTATTTCATATACGGATTTCTATAATTCTACACTTGATCATATTGATCTTATGGAAGAATATCATAACTGGCAATGTTATGGAAATTCTCACAGGTAAGAGGAATTACTGTTTGTTTCTTGTTAAGTAGTATTTCAAAGTACCGTGTCTACACCGTGTCTATCTACTGTATATATAGCATGTCTGTACATCACATACATACCCTTTATGTGTATATATAGCCACATTAAATACTGTATTTTATTGGAAAAACATAGTATAGCTACTATTTACTATACTTATTCCTGCGTGGATGTGAGATAACCAATAAAGCTTATTCTGTGTTTGCAAACTGGAGAAATATAAAATATAGATGATAATAATATGAGTTTATTATTTATTGGCGTAGACTTCTAATTGTGTCTTACTACAAAAATATTTTAACTTCCAGTACGTTCATAGCAAGTGGCATTGTGTACATACTTACTACTTAATGATGAAAATGTATCTTAATTTTCTGGATATGTGTGGCTCCGATCATGTTTATTCCAGTGAAATCAGTCTTACCATTTCTGCATGAAAATCACCACCGAAGTCAAGTCTTTACAGACCCAAAGCTTGCAAAGTTACTTATCTTCTTGTGAGAGATGAACAGTAGTGCGGTTTAGAAACATGTAGAGAAACAGGCATTTCATCTTTCTGCTGAAGTTTTAAATCTTACTAATGTTTTCTTAATAACAATGTTATTTTCTATAGCTCTCTTTTTTTCTGCATATCATTATGTATCACTCAGTCTTTACAGCTTGACTCACAAGATGAACAAAAATTTCTTCATATTTCAAGACTTCACTAAGCTAATTTGAGATATCAGCCATCCAAACATAGATTTTTGTTTATTGCATGTTTAACTTTCCTTGTCTTTAGCAGCAGTTGAGGAAAACTCAGAATAATTTGTTCCACCAAAACAGGCATGTGGTGCCACTGGAATAAAAAAAGTCACAAGAGTTCTCTAACTACCTTGATGAATTCTGAAGTTGTACAAAATTTTTGTGTTATTTGGTTGCAGTGGTATAAGGCTGTAATCTGATATTTCAGAAGTCCTAAGAACTTGTAATCCTGGGTTAAATCTGAAGTACCTATGCAAAATAAGTTCCCCTGAAAATCAGTTCTGCAGCAGATAAGACAAATGGGAAGTATTTCTACTGTGTACCTAAAAATGCTGCACTGAGATAGCTGTTTTTATTGTATTTAATAGGGAGAAACCGTTTTTATTAATTCAGTGTAGCAACTAAAATTTAGTATTTAAAGTAGAAGATAGCTGGTTTTAGCTGGTCTATTGATAATGATGAACAATAAAAGAGCCTTGTGGAGGAAAAGTATTATTACTAGTCACAATAGTATTTGCAAATACATTTTGTTCTTCTGAATTGAGTATCTCTGTATACAGCACAGCAGCTATTTGCAAAGTACTATCAATGGGGGAAGGTAGTTACTGAATGATAATGCATTAATTCACTCCTGTATGCTGAAAAAAGAACATGCTAGATGCTAAAAAGGAAATATTGTATCTTCTTTTCCCTTGTTGTTAGGTTTTCTTTCTGCCAATATCCATTTATCATTTCTATAGAGGCAAAAAAGGTTATTATTCAAAGGGACTCAGAACAACAGATGATAAGTATTGCACGGGTAAGTCACTTAATGATAAACCTTTGTGTCTCATCTGTTGGTATATTATAAGTTTTTATGAGATGGATATTCTATACCTTCTTTTTAAACTTCCTCACAAGTTAGCTTGAATATGGTGTAAATGCTATGTGCAGTGGAAAAGATATTTCAGCTGTCATGTTAGGGTCATGTCTTTTATGCAAGATGCTAAGGGCTTTTTACACTTAACAAGTATGGCATTTTGTTTTTTAAATTAAGGTTCTGCATGTATGATGTTTCTTTTTCACTCAAATAGCAAAGCCTTGTGGATAAAGTCTCTCGCAGACAGAAGCCTGACATGAATATGTTGTTCCTAAATGTGAAAGTGAGGAGGACGCACCTTGTTAGTGATTCACTTGATGAGGTAACAAAAAATGTAATTAAATGGTGTGCTGCTGCCAGAATATCTATTGCACTTAGATTTCAGTTTGATAAGTCATATTTAAATCTTTCTGCACTAAGACATTGGGAATATAAGTGTATAATACAAAGAATTAAATTACTGTCACAACAGCAGTGCTGCAGAATGGATTGGGTTCAGCATTCAGAGCTTTGTTTTCTGCCCTTATACTGCTCTATAGCTAAGCCCATAATAACCATACACGTTTGCATGCTGTGTGGTATGCATTTGCAATTTTTGTTTTAAGGATACAGTCCATAATTACTAGGTTATTGGTTCCATGATAAGAGCGTGAATAGCAAGTGACTAATCACTAATGAGTTTGTTCTGTTCTAATTCTCGGAAGGTTTTTGTTATATTCCTTCACTAACTTCTCTGTCCAATAAGAATCATTTTAGACTTTCTTATGTTCTTATCTCGATTTTGCCAGTTCCTCACATTCTTGAATGTAATTTTTCCAATTTTAGAAATGAAACAGATGTATCCCTTAAAGTAGTCAATAATCCTTCCATATCAACTGAACCTTGCTATTAAACATTATTTAATGAAATCTAGTTCCCTACTATTTCTCAACAGTATTGGTGGTATCGAAAAATAAGTCCAAGTGGTGAAAACAAGATCAAAATAATTCTCCTGTTTATTTCTGAGGTTTTCTTCTGCCCATCTCAGTGACTAGTAAAATGTGTCCTATTATCCATATTCTTGAACTTGTGGGGAATGAAAGGTGGGGGCAAGATGTGCTAGTTTTATTTCTAACTAAAAATACTAATTTGCAAAGGAAAACCACCTCAGTTAATAAATAGTTTGTGTCAAATAATACAAATAGCTATAAATAATAGTTATAAAATTTGTGCAACAGGCATTTACTTGAGCAGTTAGCAATGTAAAAATTATTTTAGCACGTGCATCTTTCTGACTGGTTTAAATGCTTTCTCTGGAGCTGGCCAGTTATTAGTGATTTAAAGAGAATTGTATTAGGGACTTGATATGAAATATCACTCTTAATTGTGAAAGGCTGTAATCTAATTGTTTTGCATACCTGGATGAAATGTTGTCTCTTAGGACAAAGGAACGAAAAGAGCTTGTTACTGCTGTCTAAAAAACAGTTTTACAAAACATTTGCTGGCAAGTATTTTATGCTGAACAGCATCCAAATACTGAAAGTTTTAGCTGCCTCCTTAATTCTAAATATCTCCAAAGGGTGTCTAGTTTTTTTTTTAATCTATCGTTTCTTGCTGATGGAATGTTTTCTGTGTAGGTAAAAAGTTATATAGATCCAAAATATTCCAGACAGACTCAATTCATTGTATCCAGTACCATATTAAAAGTCTATTTGCAAACTGCCTGACTTTGCAAGCCTAGATAGTGGTGCCATGTGCATTGTAGTTGCTGATTGATGTGAAGCGTTCATGGTTGTCTTACTTCTTTAATTCAGTCATTGTTTTAATGTAGTTTTGACCTATTAGTAGGAGATTATACAAATTTAAAGTTTAAATAAAGCAGGAGCGTTAGAGACAGAGATGTGTTCTCCATGGCTAGAGGTAGTGATAACATGTTAAATCACCTTTTTTTTCTCGTTTTACCAATTTTGCAATAGCTAGCAAGGAAGCGGGCAGATCTGAAAAAGAAGTTGAAAGTCACGTTTTTAGGGGAAGCTGGTCTTGATATGGGTGGCCTGACAAAAGAATGGTTTCTTCTTCTGATTCGCCAGATTTTTCACCCAGATTATGGTGAGTCCTCATAAATATTATTCAGTACAACATGAAAATTTGTTCATTTTAAATTATCAAAAGAGTGATGATAAGAATTCTTCATTAATCCAGTATTAAGCAGACCAGTTACTAATTGATGTGAAAACAAAAGTGGACAAGTTAGAATTGCATATGGAAAAGAAGTTCTGACATAGAGGAAGGTCGAAGAGAGTAGGGAGTACTTGAAGAGCTTTGGCAATCTTGACTTTTGAGAAGGAGATTCTCAAGCATTGCTAAAAAAAATGAGATTTTTCTTTAGTGATATGACAAAACTAGAGTGTGAACAAATCTTTGATTGATGGAAAGGTTTAGAATTAAAATTAGGATGCAGCTTTCTAAGACTTAAGTCATGATACACTTCGTTTCAGAAACCGGAGGCTCAAAGTTTGTGGTTTGCTAGCACCCCTAGGCCAGTGACAACATTGGATAGAAAGCCGGGGGATTTAAGACTAGCAGTAGATTTTCCTTTAAGTTCTTGCTCAGATGCATCTGTATTGTTAGAGTGTTTCCATCTCTCTCCAAAGACAGGATCTTGATTTACCTCTGGGCAGATGGGAGGAGGCCATCAACTATTTTATGGAATAGGACAAGAGTAATTTAAACCTGTTGTAGCTCAAGTGGAATTCAGCCTTTGAAAGGATTGTTTCCATTCTTCTTTTCTGGGAGTGCTGGTGAATTGCTAGACTTACTAACAAGCTGAGAAGAATAAGAAAAAGCTATGCAAGCCATTGAAACACTGACGGTTGTCTGCCCTTGGAAATTTTCTAGAATTCACACAAGTTTATGTGTGAATTCTTAGATTTGGATTTAAGAATATGTTTCTTCCACTTAAGATTTTTGGTTGCAGTTGGAATATGATATTTCTGTTCCAATATAGGAAGAGACATATAGCAGCCTCTGAAGTAGACTGTTTAGAAAGTATTTAGTAGAGATAAGGCCAAATGTATTTGTTTGCTACTTGCCATCCTTGCTTTTTTCTTCTCAAGTTCTATTTTCTCTTTTACACTGCCCTCAACTGTCTTCATATCGCTAATTTAAGGAGTTTTCCTGGTTTTAGTAGGTAGCTTCAGTTGGATGCTGTTACTGTACTCAGTGTCAGTTGTTTCCATTTGCACCAACAGTTGCACTCGGAGTCTGAGCGTTCTAGCACTATTTCTATTATTAGTATGGATAGAAGCCAGTTTTTACTTGAATCTTTCTCATCAAGTATTCTGTTTGGGGTGTCTGTGGGGCCAGTATTCTTAAAGTAGTCTGAGACGCTCTCGGGAAAGAGAGGTGCAGAAACAATATAGGCTGCCTCTGCTGTTACCAGGACCTGTGAGCCCATAATTATATTTGCAGACCCAAGGGGAAGGGAAAAAAAAAGGAAAATGTGTTGAGTAAATAGGAGATCAGAAGACATGAATGAGGATTTGCGAACAAGCAGTTAATTTCTCAAATGAGTCAGCTTTCCTCAGCTGTGCATGGATACGTTACTGATGTTATTGTGGGTTAAAGTTTTCCTGGACTAACTTTTAAATTAGAAACATTGGTTTCCAGGGACTTCAGTGTAACACCCGATAGTCATTGGTAGAATGCAAGAGTTTGTCTCTTTTCCTGGAAGTGTTCATGCTCCTCTAATGCATGGTCCTCTGTTGTTCAATAGGACTCCCTCATAGAGGTCCAGAGTTTTAAGTAATAAACATGTCCTCAAATCTGCTGAGATCATTATTTGCCTGTAGCCCTTTTTGTAGTAAAAAGGGGTCTGTGTGGAGACATGACATTTGGGGATAACAACCTTAATAGGAAGCAATTTATCCTGGAGAAAATGTTTTCTAAGATTGACAGTTCTGTTAGTAAAAATATGTTGTCAGCAGAGCTTGGTAACTGATGAGTTTAGAAACATTACAGAGTAATTTTTTTTTTTTTTACCAGCTCTGGCAGGCTTTCTCGCTGTAAAGTGTAAATTCTTTCACTGATACGACTATCAGCCAGGTGTGGAGGGACTTCAGAAATGTTCCTGTCCCTTGGAAAGGGAGTTAAGTTGCAAACAATGCATCTCAGAAGCTTGGTAGGAAAAGCATGCAAACATCACTGTTATTACCCATTCCAGGTTAGCTGATCCTGCAGATTTAAGCCCTGAAATTAAAGAACTCCCAATTAACTCAGCTGTCTGTCCTCCTCTGTGTGTGCCAATGCTTTCTTCATCTCAGTATGGACAATTAATAAATGGGATTTGAGACTTACTTTGTTCCAGCGTCACTGCCATCTTCCAGTATGTGAACATGGCTTTGCCTTACATACAACTGTTCTCTTGCTTCTGGTAAAGGCACTGTCTAAACATTTGTGAGCACCTTTTGGAGCTAAAGTTCAAAAGTTAAAATTAGATTATTCAAGAGAGTAGGAGGGGAAAATAGGAAGGCAGAGTTTCACCTATAAATTTTAATAAGAACTAGCTGTCCCCAAGACATCAGTTTGACTTTTATTCTTAATCTAAAAGAGTTTGATTTTGTATTTAAATATTATCTTTACCCGGCTTCATCTTCAAACACAGATGTGGTGAGCTACTGCCTACAAGAGAGAGAGAGCCTTAGAACTATTCTGTGCTCTGATTTGTACAAACTGTGGAAACAATAATAAACTATCGAATCATTCTATCCCACCAAATTAAAACTAGTCATCACGTTTTGTCCAATTTACTTCTGCATTGCTGAAGTTAATTTCACTGTTAGGGCACACTTCACTAGAGTGTGTCTTGCTTCTCTGAGCAATACTTCCTAGGCATCTTAAAGCTGCTTTGTGGTTTCATTACGTATGTTTTTACTTTCTATCACTCTTTAAAACTGAGCAATCCATGTCTGATGCAAATGGCAGGCAAACTTACCTATAGTCATGATACCAGTAGGATATAGCTTGTGATTTAGACCAGGGAGTGGCTATTTTAGGTTGTTTGTGGTTTGAGAGTTTTTTAACTTCTGATACAATTTCTTGACAGAAAATATGAAACATACCTCTTTGCTCCTAGCATGTGCATAAGATAAACCTTTTACAGCTTTCTAATCTAGGAGGGTAAAGCTTATGGTATTTGTATCATGGGATTCATGCCACTATTTTTAAAGAAGGTCATCTGCTGTTGACCCAGGAAGGAAGGAAGGAATGGGTTTATATTGTGGCAAGAAAATTCTTGGTTAGACAGGTGATGTTTCTGGCTGTACATATGATGAATTGCAATGAAGAAACAGATTGCACAGAGACGGTGCAGAACATCCACGACTGGAGGCACTCCAGAACGTGTTGCGCCGGCATCTGACAGGGTTGGTGGGCTTGGGTCTGCTTTGGGCTTGGCACTGCCCTCGGTGGTCATTGCCCACGCCCCTGCCCACGCCCTGAGAACAGCACGGGGATACGGGCCCCTACCAGAGTGTGTGTGTGTGAGAGAGTGAGACTTTGCATGACTTTTCCTTGAAGCTCAGGCTTTGTAAAGGCCACCCACCGTTCCTGTTCTGCAGGCATGTTCACCTACCACAAGGACTCGCACTGCCATTGGTTCAATGCGATAACTATTCTGAATTCCGATTGGTTGGAGCTGTATCCTTTTATGTCTGCCAGATGGTGCTAAACCAATAACAGGTCTGTGAGTTGGTGTGAGGATGAAATAAGCTGCTGCTGAAAGCTCATTCAGATGTTGTACGTTCACCTGTGTTCTATTTTAAATGTATAAAACGAATGTCGTTCAAGCAAGTGAACTAAAAATAGGAAGAAAATGACGATATGTGGGTATGTGGTACATTTGATAGTCAGAAAAACTGCAATTAGGATTGAACGTGCAACTTTTGTGTACAAGTTGTAATTTTGTATGTGTTTCATTCAGTAAACATAAATGAGCCTGCATGCATTAATACTTCGTTTAAGTTCTCTTTGATCAGTATGTGGCCTTTTTTGTATTTTTGTATGTGGGTTTGTTTTTTGGTTTTGTTCTTTTTACTGAATGGAAGCCACGTGCGATTTTGAGCATAAGTTTATTTCCTAGGTTTTCTGCTGTGCTCATTTATGAAGTCCTCAGACAAAGGATTAATGATAGCACATGCTTGTAACTCCAAGATGAGATGATGCTGTCCCCATTGTACTCATTACAGTTAGAGAAGTGATGTAGGTCTCTTCGAACAGAATGATTCTATTCTAGTGAAAAGCTGAATCACGAACTGGATTCTTCTCATTTTTGATATAATTTCAAATTTGTTTCACAAGATGTACTTAAATATGCCAGCTGATGTGCTGTAGTGCCAGTGCAGGTTTGTCTTTGTGCTCTTAGATTTATTTAAAAGAAAAGTTACTATATCGGATGCTCTCCATAATTTTTAGATTAAGAATATTTATCTACAGTTCTTGAGAAGTTTTTTTTAATAACGATACTTTAGAACGGTTTGTTATAAAAATGCTTGTATAGAATATTTCGACGAAGACTCTTGTCGATGTGCATCATTTGACGATTTTAACTGCTACTAAATTGTAATACAACAGTGCATTAAAAATTGTCAGTCAAAAAAAAAAAAATTTGGTTCTTCCCCTGGTTTGACATGTATTAGATTATGACGAGTAAAATCAGGAAATACTTTTTCCAAGTTACTTAAAATACAACCTATAATAAGAATGTGTGGGGTTTGCCCTTAACATTTGACATGTATAGCTTATGGGACTTGCTGTATATAATAGCATCACCTTGGATATTCGTTTCCCACCCTCTTGTTACAAGAAATTATTGAGCCCTCCCGTTGTTCCTTGTGACCATAACACACTTGTAGGCATCTGCAATGTCACATTAGATGACCTGTTTCAGGTTATGCCTGTAAGTATTATGTTTTTTTAAGAGGCTAAATTACTGATTTAAAACCTGTTTTATTTATATTTGATGCTTGAACTATAGACTGTTTTAAAACAGCCTTTTTCTCAGCACAGGCTGAGAAAGTCTCCTCTTCCTCTGTTTAAAATAGAAATTCTCTATGTTTTCTAGCATAGCAGAACTTCGGTTGATCTACTTGAAGTTAGAATACCAAAATTTGATATGAGCATTCTAAACATATTTTTCCATAGTAGAAGGAAAAACGTAATGCTTTATACTGAAATATAAATAAGTAAATATATATACACACATATTAATTAAGCAGTGAGTTTTTCTTTGTGTACACATCTTAAATATACAACTTTTTCCAAGATACTTTATGTATACAAGTCCTTGCAAAGTACATCACTTAGTTCTGTGGATTTACTAAAGAGTACTCATTTTGTAGGAATTGGCCCATGGATTAAGTGAACTTCTGTCCTATGAAGGCAATGTCGAAGAGGATTTTTACTCAACCTTTCAGGTGATTAAACACACAGTCCTAAGTGATTCTGAACTCGTTCAGTAATTTTTACCAACGTTTTTACAATGGAATGGCCTACTGCTGTGTGATTGCCAATTGTTTGGAATACCACTGCGTGGGCATTAAAGCTTGCTTCAGGACCAGCCTGGTGGTGGGGCCTTGGGGCACACAGAGGCTGGTTCTTTGAACATGAATTTCTTGAAAATTGTAATATTTAGTTTTTAAAAACCAAACCCTCAGAATTATAGCATGTGCTACTAAGGGAGACAAGGGAAATACATGAAATAATAAACACAAGCTTTGTGATTTGTGAGTATATTAATGTATTTTCCAGTGCTCACCTCCACTCCTCTTTTTTTTTCTCCAGGTTTTTCAGGAAGAATTTGGTGTTATAAAATCTTACAACTTAAAGCCAAATGGAGATAAAATTCCAGTCACAAATCAGAATAGGAAAGGTACTTCAATATGTGTTAGTTTACACATGTGTGGCAGATTTACGTTTGTTGGTTTTTTCCCTTCTTGTAAGCCTAGGTTTTCTATAACTAAGTGTGAAAACGAAATTACTGGTATGCCTACCAATTTAATAGTATTAAAAATTAAATGCATTTGTTTTTCTTAATTCAGTACAATTCAAGAGAGCAGAAATAATTATTATTTAAAATTGTTATGGTGTAACAAAATGTTTTATTCTTTTTTTAGAGTATGTCCAGCTCTACGTTGATTTTCTTCTCAACAAATCAATCTACAAACAATTTGCAGCTTTCTATTACGGATTTCATAGTGTCTGTGCTTCATATGCATTACTGGTAAGAATAAAATGAAACAACTCTTCTGCTTCAAATATGTGAGAAGGACTTATCTAAAACAAATCACGCTGGATGATTTTAGGATTTGTGAAGAACCTTAATTAATCATGGTAGTTCATTAACCCAACATAAGCAGAAGAAACTAAGCAGATAATCAACTGTTTTCTGTAGTGTTCCTTGGAGAACAGGTAGGGCTTCACAGGTTAGGTTTCTCAGTATCCATTCACAAACACTTCAGGGACTCTTGTGTGAATATTTACAAGGATTCTCTGTATTCCCTGCAGTTCTGAGCAGCAGAGCAGCTCTGTCTGTGTGGTCTTGAGTGACTCCTGGAAACACCAATCACTTTCTTAAGGAATAACACTCAGTGAGGCTGAGATTAAACATTATTCCGTATTCAGTCCTGTTTAGCTATTGGGGATGCCTTCTGTGATTTAGATCATCCCTTGTTCAGTAAGAAGAGAAAGAAGAGGCAATTACAGGTTTCGTGAGATTTTCTTCATGCCTGTGAAATTAGCTGAGTGTGACACACTTGTATCAAAGCAGCATGTGACTAATTGCAGGGAAGGTTCTGGAAGGAGAATGAAAAGCTATCAAAATGCCATGGCATACTTTCATACAGTTTCAAGAATGTTTTAGTAAATGAATAAGTAGGTTCTGCAGGTCTAAGTTTTGCACTTGCTAAAGGTGTTCATGTTGATTTGTTAAACATGTTTACGTATATTTGTTATGCACAGCAGTGTGTACAACTAAGAGTCAAGTTCTGTTGGCCACTGCTACTCATCAACCTCCAGTGGGACTTTTCAGTGTAAACAAAATGGAACTTGAAAGCAAAGTTGAGGTCAAGACCTCCCTCTGAATTCCATATGTGCAAACTTCATTTTCTTCTGACCTGTTTGTAATCTAATCAGGTGACAAATCAGTGTAATAAATGTAAGAATGAAAAAGTGAGGAACAAAAGAACTACACTAAAATATGATGTTATCCAGTAATTTGCTTTTTACTAAATCCAGCAGTGAGATTCTCCAAAGTATGGAGAAATTAGTATTTCTATAAAACAGTATGTATCTAAGTTATAGATTTATATTGAATTATATTGTTATTTTTTCTATAATGCTGAAAGAAAAATTCAATCTGAATCTAGTAGCATTGTTTCTCATCTTTTTTTTCTTAAAAAAAACCACACGAACACTTTATTCTTAATTTCTGGCAGCTACTTCGTCCAGAAGAGGTTGAAATTCTTGTCTGTGGCAGTCCTGAACTGGATATGTCTGCTTTACAGCGAAGTACGCAATATGAGGGCTACCAAAAAACTGATCTTACTATACGGTAGGCTTATCTTTTTTTCATTCTAATTACTGAGTTTGAAAACATCATGCTGTTGGCAATAATCTCTTCAAGCCAAATCTGAAAATGACTGAAGTGTTAAAAATCTATTTCCAAATAAGAGAGATGCTATTAAGTTACCTATAAGTAGGAAGTGTTAGATCCTTAATAGCATTATGTGTTGCTGAACACCTTTAAAATGCTATGATCAAATTGAAATGGAATTTCTGGCTTGAGAGCAGCCCTGAAGAAAAGGA